GTATTTCGTTTGAATGGGGAGAGATAGGTACACTCGATGCATTCGATCTCAAAGACTACAAGTTTTCTTTTTAATCCACTTCATTTCGAATAATTTTAACAAATATAAAGAACCGAAAAAGGGACATTCTGCAGTCGACAGCTTATGATTAGAGACGTTGGGGCGGTCGACCTCTTTAATCTTCTCATCGCCTACATATCGTGTAATAATTCTCCACTAGCTAAAAAATCGGATTTCGTCAAACCATTGAGTCGGGCGCGCATTTGATGAGTTCCTGCGAAATAGACAATGGTGTCTCGAAGGAGACAGCATTTTCTAAATTGGACTACGAGCATATAGTAAATATTCGTTAGAGCACAGGTAGATATAGAGATAAACTGAAAAAAAAGATATGCATTAGGCATTAAAAATACTTAAATAACAATGTACACTGTCAAAGCGCTCAATATGAATTAATTGATAGTTTTATGTAACTGTTATCGCCAGCATGAAGATTTCTTTCTCATTATACACACAGAGTTTAAATCATTCTACGTATTTACAGACTGTTATAAAAATTTCATTTGCGTATAATTTTTCAGGGCGTCTTATTTTAAATTTTTCACTATAACATTCGTATTTATTCTGCTTTTGGACTGTGGTATAGCCTACATAATTAAAAAGTTATTTTACGAGCTGGTATTTGGTTCCTTTGCAAAGGGAAGTTACTTTAACCGAACTCGTGTACTGAAACCCAGTTGGGTTGTTAACGATCAAAACAACGTTATCTTAGGGTCTAAGGATTCTTTAATTGTGGTTTGGTTTGATTATGATTTATTGTTAAACAATATAAATATGATGTCGTTGGCCTATCAATATTGTGAATTGCCGATTTTAACAGGAAATTCATAGTCAATTTCTAAATGTCAGATCTCTGTTTATAACAGCCGTCTGATCAATAGTTTTTATCAAATTAAAAATTTAGGAAAGAATAATCTCAGATACGTTTAAATCGATGGATTTACACATAGCCGCGACGAATAACCCATTGCTGTCTATACCAACTTGTGTTTCGGCGAATTTCTAAGAAAAAATATACTTCGGCGCCATGGTGGAAGTACCTCTGAAATTATAGAATTCGATGAACAGTACTCTCTTTTTTTAAAAAAAAAAAAAAAAAAAAAAATATATATATATATATATATATATATATATATTTTATATAAGTAATTAGGGTTGTCATCAATTTACGGAGCCCCTAACGCAATTGTAAACATATTTATTTATTATTGTGTTTAAACTAAATAATTATTTGTATAAGCGAAATAATAAATAAATATGTTTACAATTGCGCCTTAGGGGCTCCGTATCAATTCTTGGTAAAATGAAACACTTTTAATCCATTTTCGACAGAACAAGTTGTTATTTAATCCATATTCAATTCATATATACATAATATCTTAGCATGCTTTCAGCTTAATAGCTTCTTCAGAGATATAAAATAATTTTAACTTTCAACATATATACGCTTGATAAATCTAACCGATTGACTACAAACTACAAACTACAAACGGAGATAACTGAATAATTTCATATAGAAACAAATTGTATTAAACCTCACAGAATTAACATGATCGTTATGAGGAACCCCTTGATAAATACAATAAATCTGTTTCTGGCATTTTGGCTGATTTGTTTGGTCAGGCATGAATTGATCAGGTTATATCTCATGATCTGACCATTATAGTAGATGTGTCGCGCTCGAAGCAGACCATGCTTCTCCTTTCCTTTCGAAACACATGATAGTACTTATCTGTAGAGGAGTCCACTGCCATACAACTTTTACTCCCGATTTTTGATTGACGAAATTGTCTTGCTTTAAAGTATTTTTTTATTACAAGTACTATTTTAGAATTCGTCTCTTTTTTCAACAGCTATCATAAAGAAACTACTCGAGAATATAAAGATGTGCATTAAAAAGGTACTTGAATTATTTGAAGTGTGTATCATATGAGAGTTTGAAAACGCCCTCAGATAAGAGAGAATAATAGATGATGATTATTCTGACCACGGTTTGCTTATCAATTATAAGAAATGATGATATTTTATCAACACCTAGTGACATTTATTAGTTTTAATTGAGGAAACATGATAAATATTATTTGATAATGATACCAAAACATTTCTTAATAATTGGTTTTATTTCCATTTGAAATAATATTTTATTTGATGTATAAACATTTTTAGAATCTTAAAAACATAATATTCCGTAAGACGATTCTATGTTTGTAAATTATTGAGAGTTGATCTCGAGAAATTTCTGTCTAGTCTGGTAGGAAACCTAACATGGCAATTACTTTAAGATGCATAAATGTAAGACTTAGAACTTCACTTCATTCCATGAATACTATCTTACTTTTTATTTTAACAGTGTAAATTTGACATACATCCCAAGATGTCGCAAGATTTCTGCGAAGGTTTATTATGCTCGTAAATATTTGACATATCACATGGTTATCGGGTTGTAATTAAGAATGAACAAAACTTGTGAATATCATCATCGTCAAAGTCTATTAGGGGAAAGCCCATGTGCTGTGTGTTCATTAGTCGTGATAATTAAGCTAATTATGACATAAAAGTATGGTAATGTAGACATGAAATTACCTCAAGTTCTTCCCATTATATCTTAACTTAATCATACCCTATCTCTTAAACATTGAGCAATTAGAAATTTCAAAAACATAAATGTGAGTAGAACTGTATACAGCTAATTTTAAAAGCATACCACCTCTTAGGATAATCGAAAAAATGAAGTATTTAAACTTGGTCAAAATGATCCAATAAATCCATAAAACTCTGATTAATTAAATTAAGAGATTGTATTATTTAGTCGTGGCATCTGGGTAAGACGAACTGATGAATATCTACACTTGTTGACCTTAAATTTTCTTTTCATACTAAAAGGTAGTATACCTTTAATACAATAACTAACTCGCCATATGCATATCATTGTACTGAGTTTCAATGAACATTCAGATGATATTCAGCAATATAATCAACCTAAAAATATGTAAAAAGAAGAAAACAACTTCACGAATATCCTTTCTACCAACTGGTCATTGGCGCAACTTCTTGCCATTAACAGCTGGGTTGATTGGAAAAATTGAGAAAGACGACTTTTCAAGGTCACCAGACTTTAACACGCCGACCAAGGTTAGAACCCACGATCACCATTAATTCGACGCAACAAAACAATCATTCCAACGTCCAATTCTACTGTGCAGCAGCCAAAGTTTATCGGTTGATATTTTTTGCTGGAAATATTCGGTTTATATAATCTATTCCATGTAAAGGTTTATTTTAGGTCAGTTATTCAGGATATACACATTATCAAGTATTAAACTACCAGTCTGTCTATCAAGAAATCATCTAGTTCTCAATCCATTGTTTAATAAATATTTAGTAATTATCTATCTTAATGCTTTTAATATAATCAGGTGTTATTCTGTCTATTAAGTTTATCAAGTATTCAGCTAATATTCATAATATTATTCAAAAATACAGTAGCTATTTTTTTTTACCAAGAATTAAAGAGATATTCTGTCTATCAAATATTGAACTGATATGCTGTCTGTCAAATATTCAACTGATATTCTGTCTATTAAATATTCAACTGATATTCTGTCTAGTAAATATTCAACTGATATGCTGTCTGTCAAAAATTCAACTTATATTCTGTCTATCAAATATTCAACTGATATGCTGTCTGTCAAAAATTCAACTTATATTCTGTCTATCAAATATTCAACTGATATGATGTCTGTCAAATATTCAACTGATATTCTGTCTATCAAATATTCAACTGATATGCTGCCTGTCAAATATTCAACTGATATTCTGTCTGTTAAATATTCAACTGATATTCTGTCTTGTAAATATTCAACTGATATTCTGTCTATCAAATATTCAACTGATATTCTGTCTATAGAATATTTAATTGATGATTTGTGTATCAAATATCGAACTTATATTCTGTCGATCAAATATTCAACTGAAATGCTGTCTGTCAAATATTCAACTGATATTTTGTCTATTAAATATTCAACTGATATTCTGTCTATTATATATTTAACTGATATTCTGTCTGTCAAATATTCAACTGATATTCTGTCTATCAAATATTCAACTGATATGCTGTCTATCATATATTCAACTGATATGCTGTCTGTCAAATATTCAACTGATATGCTGTCTACCATATATTCAACTGATATTCTGTCTATTATATATTCAACTGATAATCTGTCTATTAAGTATCCAACTGATATTCTGTATATGAAATATTAAACTGATATCCTGTCTGAACACATATTATTTCTAGTAAGTAATATCAACTAATATTCTGTCTATTAAATATTCAACTGATATTCTGTCTATCAAATATCCAACTTATATTCTGTCTAAAATATTTTAAGTGGTATTGTTTTTATCATATATTCAACTGATATTATTCTTTACATTCTGTTTATTCAGTGTACATTCACCTATTCCTTATAACAAGTATTCAAATGAGTTCTGTAAGTTAAGGGTCTTGTCTTTTTATGCAATCTGTGGTTATATTTATAGAAATATTCAAAAAGCATTCAAAGCATTATGTATTCGGCTAGTCAAAAGTTCTCAACTCATCGAACATTTTGAGTTATAAATTCCCTTCCATTTGACCTCTTCGTTGATTAAAACTTCAAATATTTGAAAGATCCGTTGTGACTTTAGACACAATAACTTCAGAGCCAATATCCGATTTTGACATAGGAGAGACTCATTGTTGGTAGGTAACAGTTTCAGACGAATTTCTATTAACATTATTGTTTTGTATATTCTTGATTGATCATCAGATGGAAACTTAAACCATATTGTCGATATACAAGACTAATCATATCGATGACGTATACCGCCCTGATAAAACATAAAACACGTGACTAAAGCAAAAGTTGCGTGGAAAAGACGCGAAATTCGATTTTGTTGAAATCATCGATGAACGGTACTGCAAGCAGGGGTTAACTTCACTTCTTTTAATATTTAATATATGCCGCCTAGTTCCCGCCTTCTCAAGGCAATATCACAGTTATAAGAACTTGTTGGAAGAATTTTCTATCGTTGGGAAGTTTACGGCGTTTGAATTCTAGTTTATTAAAACGTTTCGGACTCAAACTTTTTACAAAAACTAAGAAAAGAAATAAAATTAAGATCATCATACCAACCACATAAATAAAGTAAGTGCAATAGTTTTTATTAAGTTTCTGAGTGTTTCTTTTTTGAGTGTTTATGATTTTTCTCCACTCCGGCGAGTTAGGTTAATTTCGTCAGGTCTATTTTTGGGAAATTTGCACCTTCAAAATTAGTTATACCAAATATGTATCTTTTATCCGAAACATGTCACAGCAAAAACGATCTGTCAATGACAAGTCAAGGACATGCAATTGTTTCTTGAAATTACAAAGAATTTCATTTTGTAAGTTTCATTCGTGTTTTAAAGTATGCTAGATTAAATCGTTATACACCGAAAAATAAATAGAGTAACATTTTTGTTAGCCAACCTGAAGGTTCGATCCCGGCATACGCTGGGTTATAACCCTCTTCGCCAACCTGAAGGTTCGATCCCGGCATACGATGGGTTATAACCCTCTTCGCCAACCTGAAGGTTCGATGTCCCATACAGGAATACAATTTATTTCAATCCTATTCGAAAAACCTGAAGGTTCGATGCCCGTTCCACACATAAAACATTCTCCGTAGTTACAAGAAAGGATAAACAGTTGGAAATATTTTCCCTTCTACATTAGTCCAATCAGGCGCAGAAGATAGGGCGTAAAACTCCAATTGGTATTTTTTTCACTGATAGCTTATTTTAAATCTTTTTAAAAATATAAAAATTGGTTTTGCATTAATATAAATATGCCGAAATTCACTTGCATTGAATAAAATTTTTCAAAACACATCATTTGTGTATGGGATTTTGTTTAAGGAAGAGTGTCATGAAACTTTATTTGTTATCTAGATTATGTCTAAGGTTGCAATCCTGAAAACTGTCATTGACTGACAAGAACAGTTCCTCCGAGGTTTGATTTATTTCAGATAGTTACAATATATCAAAATATGAAGTTCTCGAAAGCAATAACTTGATAACGGTAAAATAATTTATAAAGCAAAAAGCAGTGATGTTCACGGTTTTTAAACAGTAAAAATTTCCGACATGATTGTAATTCAGTATTAGTAAGATGCAACAGTTACACATAGTCTTAAAGGTGAAATTTCAAACATCTGATCTCATTTTATTTTTCCAAATTTGACAAACACAAAGAATATAGAGGAGTTTGGAACATTTATAGAAAGTTTTTTGATTTTGAACTGGGAACAGTTATTGTAGGCCTATACCAGCATTTTAGCAAATATTTCTGATAGTCGGCACTAAGAATATTTTAGTTAGTAATTCAGAACTCCTCCTTATTTTAATCTACTTTTTTAAGTTCTCTTAGTTCTTGTTTTTGTCCTATCGAGATGGAGCGATATCTTCTTTTCCCACAACCCAAACCTCCTACACATGACCATTTTTTAATCGAACGATCAAAAATCAACTTATGACATATTACTGGAGCCGTTACACATCTATGTGATTAAAAGAAGTAATTTTAGATATGGAATATCATTGGGCTTTTAATCTGATAGAATTACTTCTTTTGTAGGAGTTATAATAGTAACGTGATCGAATTAAACGATTGTAAACATTTTGTTTTACCATTAATCCATAAACCCAGCTTCAATTTAATTTGTACCAGTGTTCTTCGATTATTTTAAAATGAAATAGATTTAACAGAATTAAATAAACACTGTCCGACTGAGCCAAATGACTCTGTAAAAAATTCAATTAAGACAAAAGCCACTCTGGTTCTATTAATACGTTTTTCGGATTTGAAAGTCATATAACAATGTGAGAAGTCTTGCAAACTCTATGAACGTGATGTAAACGTTCGAAAACATCATTTTTTAATGATTTTTGTTGCGGTATTGATGGGTATTTTACTTTGATATTGATTTGTCTTAATTTCTTGAAAATATGGAATCATTTCTGTATAAAAAGAACGAGTGTTTTGTGTTTTGTATCAAAAACTGACATAAACACTATGTCAATCTAACTTTTGATTCTATAGTTTATTATATAAATAGACTGCAGATCGAGCATTGTATGCTATGGCTTCCTTCATTTGGTTTGACTGACATTCATTGAAAATGCAATAGGATTTTTTCTACCTTTCCAAAGACACATTTTTTCACCAATTCATTCATAAGTAACTACGTATGGTTCTTACATGGAAATAACACACACGAACCTAGACCATAGCTATTTTCAATCACTATCTCGACTTAATAAGTTATGATATATCAATTTAGCCTTCTAATCACATTTAAAGGCTTAGAAATTGATTTAAATGTGGTTTGAAGCCTTTGAAAAAATATCCTTGACTTTCAACTTACTTGGTAGTGAAAGAGATGCAAAATGTGTGTGTTATTTCCATGTAAGAACCATATGTCGTTTCGTTTGCAATTCATTAACAAAAACATAGAAGGTACAATTATCATAAAGACGAAATCGATGGGACAAAATTGTAGTTTTCAGTTGATAGAAACTGGTCCTATGCCATCTTCACAATGTATCACATAATGCAGCGATTTGATTTGATTACACGCTAGCAAATAGAGTCAATCAGCCCTCGACAGAATGGCTTTATTGTTTACAGAATTTTAATCTAAAATGTATTAAATTGACCCCCCCCCCCCCTCCTCTACGAAAAGGGTACCGATAGCTTTTGGGAAGCATATCTTTGTACATCCTTGGGATATGAATTCTAAAAAAGCATAGCATCTTCGATTTCGAACGGCATCTATTATCGTTCCTTCAAGATGGATTGCTTTAAGGAAATAGAGAAAGTTTTGTCGGCTGTAGGTTATAGTTCGTCGTCTACTATGTGTCATTCTCATAAGCTATAAAATATGTATTTTGTTCAGACATAAGGTTCTTCACACCTCATGAGTCTGGTATTGCCGTGTCACAAACTGTGAATGATTACTGAACTGTGTGAAATCCCATTGTTTCAACCCTGTAAGTGTTATCCTATTATATTATAATATATCAAATGCATGATCGGACATCGGATGACAGATCGACTTGTCAGATGTTCTATGGGAAAAGAAGATATATTTTTAAATCTGAATAATTTAAGAATGGGCCCTACGACACCGATTAAAACTTTTTTTCTCTTTAAATTCATTGAAACATATAATAACATAAATTCGATAATGGCATTGAATATAGGTCATTCCCAATAAAACCTTGGTCCCAGGGCACAGTGCTGCTCAATCCATCCTATATTAATGCTTGGGCCCACATGTTTTGGTCTGAAAAATCATGAATAGGAGTCAATTTCTGGTTCTTGTTGTTTATTGAGTTCGGTATAAACCGGGAATCAGTAACTATATACTTTTTATAAGTATTGACCGGACTTATGATTAATCTACTACAGGTTTTTGTTTAATTTGTTGGCCCCAAAATGAAATTTTATCAATATTTAAAGGAATTAAGCATACATACTCATGATATATGCAAAATATTTGTCCCTTTTATCAATATCACTTTTCAAAATGACAATCCAGCGTCTGAAAGAGTGGCGACATATTAAATCACAAAACCGTTATTAAACACTATTAATTACTTATTAATTTATTTTATATTGAAGATCAACCATCAGTGGCGTGGTGGCTCCAAATTAGCCAGGGACAGAAATCGTTTTGACGCCCCCTATACAACTCAGCCCTTTTGTACAAAATAATAAATAAAACTTTTAAACATATGATAGTTAGCAATGCAATACTCGAAAAATAACTTATAACTTATAGTCTACTACTTATGGTAGCTAAGATACATTGATTGTTAATAAGAGTATAGGATCAGAATATCGCTTAGTTCAGTGTGGGAATAAATGGTTTTGACAGCTATAGCTCCGTCACATCGGAAGGGCGTTCTTAGTGAACTGCTAACGGAAAATTATCTAAGATCATGTTAAGGTCGCCATGCCATGGTATAAGCGTGAAGGGAGCGTCAGATACCATATGGTTGGTGTCATTGTCGCCAATATTCGCCGTTGAGATCGTCACGGAATCGAGAATGTCTTTAGACAATCGTCATAATATCTCCATAAACGCATTAAAAATAAAGTACACCAGGTTGTATTAGAGACTTGACCAAGTAAATGGAATATATTCGCATATGTCGCAGGTTGATAGGGACAGAAGTAAATTTTTTAATTTTACGGAACCCTTTTAACGTTTTCTTTACGTTTTCCTGCGACCAAGTCGGTGTAACGGCTTATTTTCGAGGTCCTTGTCTGAATGTACTAATTATTTTATCGCAGTTACCAGAAAATTTGTCGCTCATATGTCATCAACAGCAGTTTCTTATCGGTCTTGCACCAAAATAATAACGATCTGAACCGCAAAACGAAGCCCAAGACCAAACAACATATCAGAGAAACATTCGAAGCAGCTATTGAACTTTTCACATGAGAAAGTATATCAATCATAAGTGAGGAAGTATTTCATAATGAAAAATGGTATCAGTTGTCTAGATGAATAAGCATACCCTGACACATCCGCCATAGCTGCTATGGAAATATTCGAGATTTGATCTGTTTAAGGTCAGAAAAGATGCGTTCAGTTGTCAGAGCTTTCTGGTAACTAGTTGACGTGTGTGTGTGTTCATGATCTTCATCGTTTTCAATACTTCAGTATTCAGACAAAAAGCTTCCAGCTTTGGCAATAGATGTTCTGTTGAAAAACAGCAAATTTTTGTATTTTTTTATCATGTAGCCTTCACTTGCATGCAGGTGAATACTAATGTGACGAAAAACGACGACCTGCTAGAATACTGCTTCTAGTAGCCTTCTAGAAACTAGACTTAACTTTGCAAGTTTACAATGATATTCACGGTGGTAATAACAAGGTAATAAATACTTCTGGATATACCACAAAACCACAATCTACAAATGTGGTTCGAGACACGAGTCGTCTAATAGAATGTATGGTCATTGGAACCTTCAAATGAATTTAGCTTCCCAAATAAGCTAGTTGAGTCGCACAAATCGCCAATAAAATTTTCAAGAATGGAAGTACAGGAAGGAAAACTAAAAGGACATCATCACAACTTATCTTCGTATGTTCACCTTTTGAGATAGGAAAGAAAAATATGAGAGTAGGAGAGGAGTGCGCCTCTTTGATTTTCTGTCGCTGGTAGGGTAAGTGCTCCCCACCCCCTGACCCTCTGACCATCGGCCACCACACCACTGCCTACAATATGTTCCATATACGTTTTGAAACGTGAAATGTATCGATGTTATTAAGCTTAGCTGGTAAAGCAAACATTTAGAGTACAATATGGTTATAAGATATTTAAGTTTTTATTACGAGTGCGCAGCATGTTGAACTCTGGCTATAGAAAATCACGAATTCCATGACGTTTTAGTCGTTAGCTTGGCCTTTGTGAAAGATTAATTTCAGATGAAAATAGTTGCAAGTGTTGAAGGTACAAAGTATAAAATACGTCATGACCTTCTGATAGTGAATACCGGGCGGTGATCAAAGTAGTCTTTAATTCAATAAAAACAGTATTATAATGTCGACAGCACCGATATTAAACTACGCTAAATGTCGCTTTTAATTCAGAAATAATTTAATGATTGAAACCTGTAGAATACTAAACAAAGGTTTAGAAATGTCTGAGATGGTGTAGTGAAGTCAAGTGGAATCACAGATTAGAACGAAAACAACTTGTATTTAGAAGCCCACCGATATGTTTACAATACCTTTCTTTCACATTTCTTGATTTATTTTCCTAACATTGACAGCTTAGTTGATTACTTCGGTCCATTAAAAGTAAATTTCCTACTATTGATATTATAGTTGTTTGGTTTTCAAGCACTACGATCAAATCTATACAAGCATCAAAAGTCGCTTGAACTTGATTTCTTTTCCTCCGCTCTTGCCTTAATATTTTTTAAACATTTAATTCCACATTGACCGTTTATGAAAAAAAAAATTGCAAAATGTGACCAATGGGTATTGATAATACCTTTTATTATAGTATTTGATCTGGAAAATGATCCTAGAATTTGTCCTTACTGTACTAAAAAAATATATGTACAGCATGTCGATTAGGGTATATGCAAAACCCCAATAAAACAATTGATTTTATTACCTTATATTTCTAATATAGCCTTGAACGTTCGTCAAAATAACCTTTTGACCTAACCTGATAAACACTGCGTCACAGCGCTGGGGAGAAATTTGATTGGTTAAAGCAGACATCATCGAGTTACGTCAAAAGGTTAATATGACCAACGTTCAAGGCTAGATGGCTGTATTAAAAATAAAAGCTATTAAAACCAAACCACATGAAATATCTGATTAATTCCAAATATATCAGGCTTGTGTTGTTCATTCAATTTAGAATTATTGCAAAAGCTGTCAATGTTACGTATGTTACATAATTATGTTACTTATTTTGAATGCTATTATTTTAACGTGTTTTTATTTAGTTATCCTTATTTCGATTTTTTAGACGCCCACATGAAGTCCGTCCGTCCACAATTGCTCGTAAACACTCTACAAGACACAATTCTTGACGGATTTTGACAAAACTTAGTATGAGTGTTTGTAATCACCCAAGGGTGAACCCTATTGAAAATCAGAAGAATCGAAAAATATTTAGTAAAAGATATTTCCCTTGTTCTTGAAAACGCGTTCAATTTTTAGCTCGTAAACGTTCTAGAACGTTCGTAAACGTTCTGGTGGATTTTGACGAAACTTGACATGAGTGTTTGTTATCAACCAAGGATAAACCCTATTGAAAATCAGAAAAATCGAAAAATATTTAATATGAGTTATTGCCCTTGTTCTTGAAAACGCGTTCAAATTTTAGCTCGTAAACACTCCAGAAGACACAATTCTTGACGGATTTTGACGAAACTTGGTTTGAGTGTTCGTAATCACCCAAGGATGAACCCTATTGAAAATCAGAAGAATTGAAAAATATTGCCCTTGTTCTGGAAAACGCTTTCAAATTTAGGTCTTTAATACTAAGAGGCATGATTCTTACTGGATTTTGACAAAACTTGGTTTCATTATTCAGTCCCGTGCTGAAGATTGAATATTTGCTTTCTAGAGTTTCACGAGCTAACAATTGATCAATATTATTCAGTATCGTCCTAAAAACTTCAAAAGAAGTGTATGACTGAAGGTTGAATATTTCATACTGGTGATTGTTACTGTATTACTAAATATTTTTATTCAAAATCAAAGCTGCCAGTGGGCGTATATTACCTTGCCTGGCAAGCTATCTTTTAATTTATTTGTAGACATCCGATTAAAAATCAAAATTTATTTTTAGACATTCAATTTAAAACCAAATATTCTGTTCATTTCTTTGCAATAAGGAAAACTAAAACTACTATCTCAATGAATTACCATAACTCTCAGACAATTCCCGTATCATATTTAGTTGATATTTTGAAGCAAGTTTGAAGAGAGATAAAGGATATTTCTCAATCATTATTAAGGTAATCTCTGCGCCTCATTACCTTCAAGACAAGTATCTTTATCTTGCCAGTCATTATATATAAAAATTGATTCCTTAACACTAGCTGTCTTTAGATGTATCATTAACCAGTTCCTAGATTATACGCTACACATGTACTTAGACGACAGAAAAAATACCATTCCAATTACTATTTACGAGACATATTCAAGACATATTTATATATTACTTATTGACATTCAGACAAATTGTTGCAAAAATAAGAATTGTTTTGTCATATGCACTATATCAGATTTAAAAAAAAATTGGATTAAACAAAAAAAGAACTGTGAAATGGTTGGTCCACATGAAAAGAACCTGGTACAGGACACTGGTATTCAGGTTATCCAGGTCAACTTCAGTATGATATATGGGAATTTTCAGTAGGGAAATCGGAATTTTTTTAAACTGTGAGAACGGAAGTTGCAAAGTTTTGCCTGATTATAAACAAAAACTCGTATTGAATAATAGAGTGTAAACAAATGAATAATAACATAATATAAGAAACTTATAAAGATAACAAATGATTGCGTGAAGTTGATAATAAAGAAAGTGTAAATAGTAATAACATAATATACAAATTCATAAAGATAACATATTATGATAATTTGTGATTAGAAACTAGTAAACGTTACCAAGAATAGTAGATGTCTGTGGTAAGGACGATATTAAGTAAGAAGCAGATAAAGAATCAGAAAATTATATAGAAAACATACACTAACATGTGAAGCATTTAAACATATACTTGTAACGATTACATAGAATAACGTAGAAAATATAACAAAGAACATCTTCTAAAGATAACACAGAATATCTTCTAAAGATAACACAGAATATCTTCTAAAGATAACACAGAATATCTTCTAAAGACTACACAAGAAATTTTCTACAGAATAATTTTTTTATAATAACTGTTAGAAAACATTTTTTTAAGCATGATCGTCTTGGTTGTTATATAGAAAATATAACTGAAGTTGTTATATAGTTTATTCTGATAATGTTAGTCTACAGGTGGGTTCCTTATTGCCTCATATTGGTGGATTGACATTACGACCTGAGCTGTCCGTTATCTGCAGACAAAACTGACTAAACAGATAAATAATCAGAAAATTATATAGAAAACATACACTAACATGTGAAGTATTTAAACATATACTTGTAACGATTACATAGAATAATGTAGAAAATATAACACAGAATATCTTCTAAAGATAACACAGAATATCTTCTAAAGATAACACAGAATATCTTCTAAAGATAACACAAAAAATTTTCTATATAGTTTATTCTGATAATGTTAGTCTACAGGTGGGTTCCTTATTGCCTCATAATGGTGGATTGACATTACGACCTGAGCTGTCCGTTATCCGCAGACAAAACTGACTAAAAAAGATGTTCTATAACTTCTAGTTGTAAATATTTATTGAGAGCATTCGATAACTTCTAGTTGTAAACAATTATGGAGAGCATTCTATAACTTCTAGTTGTAAACATTTATTGAGAACATAGAATAACTTCCAGTTGTAAACATTAAACAGAATATCTTCTAAATATAACACAGAATATCTTCTAAAGATAACACAGAATATCTTCTAAAGACTACACAAAAAATTTTCTACAGAATAATTTTTTTATAATAACTGTTAGAAAACATTTTTTTAAGCATGATCGTCTTGGTTGTTATATAGAAAATATAACTGAAGTTGTTATATAGTTTATTCTGATAATGTTAGTCTACAGGTGGGTTCCTTATTGCCTCATATTGGTGGATTGACATTACGACCCGAGCTGTCCGTTATCTGCAGACAAAACTGACTAAACAGATAAATAATCAGAAAATTATATAGAAAACATACACTAACATGTGAAGTATTTAAACATATACTTGTAACGATTACATAGAATAACGTAGAAAATATAACACAGAATATCTTCTAAAGATAACACAGAATATCTTCTAAAGATAACACAGAATATCTTCTAAAGATAACACAGAATATCTTCTAAAGATAACACAGAATATCTTCTAAAGATAACACAAAAAATTTTCTATATAGTTTATTCTGATAATGTTAGTCTACAGGTGGGTTCCTTATTGCCTCATATTGGTGGATTGACATTACGACCTGAGCTGTCCGTTATCCGCAGACAAAACTGACTAAAAAGGATGTTCTATAACTTCTAGTTGTAAATATTTATTGAGAGCATTCGATAACTTCTAGTTGTAAACAATTATGGAGAGCATTCTATAACTTCTAGTTGTAAACATTTATTGAGAGCATAGAATAACTTCCAGTTGTAAACATTTATAGAGAGCATACCAATAACTTCTAGTTGTAAACATTTATTGAGAACATAAAATAATAAATCCTAGTTGTTAACATTTATTGGGAGCATTCAATAATTGCGAGTTGTAAATTTTTATTGAGAGCATTCTTCAACTTCTAGTTCTAGTTGTAAACGTTTATTGAGAGCATAGAATAACTTCTGAGCTGTCCGTTATCCGCAGACAAAACTGACTAAAAAGGATGTTCTATAACTTCTAGTTGTAAATATTTATTGAGAGCATTCGATAACTTCTAGTTGTAAACAATTATGGAGAGCATTCTATAACTTCTAGTTGTAAACATTTATTGAGAGCATAGAATAACTTCCAGTTGTAAACAGTTATAGAGAGCATACCAATAACTTCTAGTTGTAAACATTTATTGAGAACATAAAATAATAAATCCTAGTTGTAAACATTTATTGGGAGCATTCAATAATTGCGAGTTGTAAATTTTTATTGAGAGCATTCTTCAACTTCTAGTTCTAGTTGTAAACGTTTATTGAGAGCATAGAATAACTTCTAGTTGTAAACATTTATTGAGAGCATGCCAAAAATTTCTAGTTGTAAACATTTATTGAGAGCATTCTATAACTTCTAGTTGTAAACATTTATGGAGAGTATTCCAATAACTTCTAGTTGTAAACATTTATTGAGAGTATTCCAATAGATTCTAGTTGTAAACATTTATTGAGAGTATTCCAATAGATTCTAGTTGTAAACATTTATTGAGAATATTCGAATAACTTCTAGTTGTAAACATTTATTGAGAGTATTCCAATAGATTCTAGTTGTAAACATTTATTGAGAGTATTCGAATAACTTCTAGTTGTAAACATCTATTGAGAGTATTCCAATAACTTCTAGTTGTACACATTTATTGAGAGTATTCCAATAGATTCTTGTTGTAAACATTTATTGAGAGCATTCGAATAACTTCTAGTTTTAAACATTTATTGAGAGTATAACAATAAATTCTAGTTGTAAACATTTATTGAGAGTATTCCAATAGATTCTTGTTGTAAACATTTATTGAGAGCATTCTATAACTTCTAGTTTTAAACATTTATTGAGAGCATAAAATAATAAATTCTAGTTGTAAACATTTATTGTAAGCATTCAATGACTGTGAGTTGTAGATTTTTATTATCTTTACTAAAATAACCCAGAAGAAAATATTATTATATCAACATTCTTGAATATTTCGTTATCTCATCAAGGCTGTTATAAATGAAAACATTCTGAATTTTTGAAAGTTTGAACAGAAAGTGGTTCAGCGATCAATAGAAAAACTATTCACAGCAATTTAGATTTGACATTTTTTAACTGTTAACTGCTATGTCTGTCTTATTTTTATCTGATTGTAGTATGATGGAAATTAAAAAGTTTGTTTGAGTGTAGGTCGATAAGACACAACATTATGTTTGTAAAGAGACTATCAAACCATTCACCTTCAATCGACATTAGCAGATCCAAAACCTTTAGCAATAGCACTATATTAATAGTTAAATCTCCGTCGAACCATGATGACGCAATGGAAATGAATGTGCTGATCAGCTATAAGATGTCTGAGTTGCATTTTTTAAATCCGATACTCTCACGAAAACCGATTTTAGCAATGAATTTTGTATGTATCATAAAAGAAAATCAATCTTGAAATCCTGGGCTTGTAAGTCAACCAAATAGTATGAGATTCAATTCAGGCTCAAGCAGAAAAAGTATGTTGCTGCAGTGATGGTAATTTTTTTTTTGTCTTGGGTGCGAACGATAAAATCTAATGTTTTACGTTACTTCACTCGTACTATGATCTGCTCAAGCATAGTTAAATGTCCCCCTAATAAGTGTTATAGCACTTATTCAACGGAACATTTCATTGGTTGAATTTTTGTAACATCTCTCAATGTCTTCGGATCATGGTATGAGTGATAGATGTAACCCACAGAAAATAAACGAAATGAGATCTAGAGCTGCAATTTAATCAGCTATGACACAGAACATCAACTGATTAAAATATACTAGATCAATTTTGAGAAATAGGTCGAACTAAGTCATTACCATAATGTTAACTGAGCTATTACATTATGTATTATTACATTATTACATTATTACATTAATCTAGACTTATATTACTAACTGATAAATATGCCAATCACGAACATGTAATATTATTAATGTCAACTATGAAGACAGTGATCATTTTATTATTATTTATTCTATTAATTTATCATATAAATATTTATCATTCCACTGTCTCTGATTGACTAATATCTCACACAAGAGAGTAGGCATCATTTTATAATTTGAGCTTAAGCTGAGGTCAAGCTTATATTCACCTACAAGTTGGCTTTGATTCATACCACCCTTATTGCATCTTCACAATATTAAGCTATTACGAACTTTGTACCTTTACTGCAATATTGATAGTTCATAGAAGATTGTAAATGGAGTAATTTGATTGGATTGTACGCTATAGAATGTAGCCAATCAGAGGCATCGACAGAATATCTGTGAAGGCAAAGCCGTAATGATTGTCGAGCGCTTTGATTGGCTGTACAATCCAGTCGAATCGCTGCATTCCGTGATACAATTGATGACTATTGCAGTCAAGATATAAGTATTTTTGTAATAGCTTGTCACTGTGAAGATGCCACTATTGGAATTATGACGTCTTTCTGAAAACAAATAGTTTCTTCACTGTTATTTCCATACTAATTCTAAGCAAAAGTGTTGTTTACATTATTCTATTGTCTGTTATTTATTATTTTAAGATAATGAAACTATCAGAGATGATTATGTGTATTATGGCCGTACTGTTGGTAACGATAACATTAGGAAATGGTGCTCCACAATGGCGACCCCAAGGAAGATTTGGGAAACGAGTGAATCCAACATTATCACTTCTTTTACACGGAGGTGCGTATTACAAATCATTATATATAGCATATTATGTAGCATTATTTATATATATAAAAAAGTATCATAATGATCCGCACCGCAAAACGAAACCTGAAATCCAAAATAACATTTTGACAATACATTGGTAGCAGCAAATGAACTTTTCATGTGAAGAAGATTATTATATTTCTTATAAGCATAAATTTGATATTTAGAGCACATTTAAATGGAATCTGTCTAGTATAACCTACCATGTACTCCCTCACCTTACGTAAATAACGTGAAGGATGTCTCAACCAACTTTAACCACCGACTACTAATTTCCAGAACCTATTTTGTAATATGTTTTTAAATTCATAAATACAATTTACATTTTTTCGTTGTGGCACGTATTGAGGGTGTGATTAATATGTCAGTAATTATATGTGCAGACAAATCTTCTCGCTTTACATTTACAGGGTAAATCTTGCTATAACTAGATTTAAACCTTGTTGTATAACATTTAGGCTCCTCCCACTCGTTTCTGCAGAGAAATTGCACAGGTAAGAGGAGGGTTGTGTATTTCATCATAGTAGTCTCGTAAATACACTTTTTTAAGAATTCTTTAATACAAAATAACAAAAATGCACGTGATAAAGTGTGTCGATAGTATTTCACAGATAGTAATAGATTTATAATTATGCTTCGTTATATTTTACAAAAATCACTGTTTACTATTTCTTGAACAACAATCACTTAACCTTTCATTTGAATTTTTATAATCATTTACAATTAAGATGACGATTATTGTTTAAAAGGTTTGAAATTAAAAATATTCTATTAAGATTAAGTTCAATATATTTGTATTCAATAGCTTTATCTCATATATTGACACTAATTATCTAAATGAAGACTTGAAAAGAAATGAAATGGTGATGACGTCATGATGAAAATGTCAGGCGCTTTCAGTGAGGTCGGTGTGATAAAAATAAAGGGAGATAAATAAAAAAAAGTGATCACTCATTGACAGAGTTTTATTTACTAAACATGATTATAGTATTAGAGACATTATATCTTAGTAAATACTGTAATGGAGCATATCTTACACTATTGATCTTGCTTTGTCCTTAGTTGCTATTCATTTGCGAACCTTCTATACCATTGTAATGCCACCCCGCAAGTGGTAAAGAGCAAGTTCCGTATAGTCACAGTACATTGGGTTGTCTATGTCAATGTTTGAGTAAATATTATTTAAGATAACAATGTTAACCTTTACCATTAGAAACTATATAGATTAGGCATGGTCAATAAAGGTGTTGTTTTTGTTAAGGCAACAGTTCATATTTCCCGCTAACGCCTACCATTTTTCACGTTAAAACTTAACGTCCAAATTTCTTACTTATTTTGCAGAATTTATTCAGGTCATGAACCATGAAATACAATATAAATTCATTTTTCGATATCTCTAAAACTTCATGAATCTACGACGTAGGCTATTTTTTCAAATGACTTGCAGTCAATCAGCTTATTAGTATAAAAGTACTGTATTTTATTTGGTTGCTAAGAAACAGTTGTAATTTCTTATTAACTAATTAGTTCATAATAATTCTAATTACTAATTACTATATTGTACTACCAAAAGTTTCTTCTAATTAACCATAGTGAAACATTTCTATTGTACACAAATGCACTATGCAACACAACTACTTTCATTTCTGTTGAGGTTGAATTCAAAATGCCTCAGCCCTTAGGGGGCGTCATTCTTGCAAACATCTCGAGAAGCGTCTTCGAGGGTTCTCCCAAGAAAATTGTCGGAAAAATTCAATTGGTTTGATGCATTCTGACACATAAATTTAGGGGAAAACGTATAAAACGGTATTTGCGTCACTTTTCGTCCAATTCTTGTTATTCTCTCAAGTAACATTTCCTGTATATTGATTTATCTTTTCAGATCAAGAAAAACAATTTTTAAATCATGAAAAACCATTCATCTCAGAGGACAAACCATATATACCGGAAGTGACAGATGAAATCTCAGTAGAAAGATTAACATCAGATGCTCGTGATAATTTATCTAAATTTTTACATAGATTATGTTCAGAATCAGGATTAGAAAATGTACCAAGATGTTCGTGGTAAGTATTTAACTGGAATAATAAAAGAGACATTCATATTCTGGTAATATTCAAAACCTTTTGTATTCTGGTCTTGATATCGGTCTTTCCTGGGTTCGCCATTACGTTGACTTGAAAAAGTAGATGGATAGCTATTTCGAGGTCAAAATATCATCAACCCTATCTACACCACAACCTATACTTTCCTTCGAATTCCTACATTAAAAACTTGACTTGTCACAAAAGTAACAGCCCTTTGTACATTTAAAGCAGTAGATAAAGAAATGATAAGTCTTTGGAAAGAAGAAAGTAAGAAGTTGAAAGTCAGATTTAACTAATACGCTATTGATCAGTCTTCATGCAAGAAATGTATTATTTATTCCGCTAAAGTAAACCCGGTCTGTAGTAAGGTGATATAATTGATAAAACCAGACATTGCAATGAAATAGAGGCTGTGTGATCTAGAAAAAAAATTAAAGTCAAGCGTATCAAAGATGTGGAAGACTCAGTGAGTTCGGAGTTTGCTCATATGCCAAAAGCCCAACAAATTAAAATTAGACCAAACTTTCGTTTCGTTTTTTTTTAAATTAGTTTTTATTTCTAGTATAGCCACTTCAGAGTAGGGTCTAACGACCAGACTGGACATTCGTCAAAATAACCTTTTGACCTAACCTGCTTTAACCAATCAAATTTACGCCTTCTCGAGAGTTGGCTTTTTGTGAGAGATTGAAGGAATTTGATTGATTAAAGTAGAGATCATCAGATTAGGTCTAAAGGTTATTTTGAAGAATCGTTAGACCCTACTCTGACGTGGCTAAACTAAAAATAAAAAAAAAATGATGAAAAAACTGGTTATTTAAAGCAGAAGCATTCTTGATGAAGAGTCGAAACTCAAGTCGGCAGTATGCCTTAAGGTGTTGTCAATACGTTTTGGGTTTTTGTGACGGGGTATGCTGTAAATTCTAATTATTACAGTGGATAATTCTATGGTTAAGATTCCTTTGTCATCACATCAGCTCCATTTATAAGTTTTAGAGATCAAGTCCTTAATCAAATCTGTTAGTCTTACTTATAAACATTTCATCCATAGTCTAAAATCTGTAATGAATCAAACAATGCTTTATTTCGATTCAAATGATTAGTTGAAGGCCAAATCATTGTAAAATCAATCTACTAGAATATGGGCTTGTCGGTGTATGGATGAATTGTCGATGATCCTACTGTCCATAAAAAAAAATAGGACTTGAAATGGAATACGTGAATTATATTTTTAAGTTTTATTTTCTAGTTTTTCTTTAGCATAAATATTGTTTTTCTACATTAAATATGGATTTTACGGCAGAGTAAACAGCTGTAATTTGAGAAAGTTTTCAAATCTATGGAAAAATCAATAGACCTATAATGTCTGTTTTCTCTTTTATATATTATATATATAAGGCCTACAATTAATTGACAATATTCTAGATATTGTAATATAGGCCATAAAATGAAACACTGAACTGCACCGAATTCAAAGATTATATTCAGATATTTCCCATTTGATCTCTTAAAGGGAAAAAAATGGTTGTGCTTTTTTTTTTATCTCAATGTTTCACCTGCATTTTGTTCACTCTATCACACAAGACACACTACCAGAAATAAGAATCGTGTGTCCATAACGGCAGTGACCCATACCCTTGACCTCTTGAAGACTACTATGTGAATATTGCGATTATCTATTTTCATTTCACTTTTATATTTTGTTATTTCAGGTCACGAAAAACCAGCGAGAGAAGCAGTGACCCAATAAGACTGATATAGATCCAGCAAAAGCATCAAATATTGGAGATCTTCAAAACACTAGTTTCCTGTTATTCTCATCTTCTTAAAAATTTCGAAAAATGGAGATAAAACTTTAATTTATGACTTTACCATATTCTTCTGTACTTTATTTCTTGAAGTTCCTTCTTGATGACTATAACTTATTTTAATTGCTGCTAGATACCTGTTAGTATAGAACATAATAAATCTTCATAAGATCAGTTTGAGACCTATCTGATGTTATGCTAAGACTATGACATCCCGGAAGCCCACCTTTTGGACTCATCTTCACAATGTCAAGCAATTACGAACGAACAATTACGTCTAATATCTCGACTGCACTATTTTTGTATTTCGGAAGTTTGAAAATGCAACGATTTGATTGGATTGTACGCTAGTGAATATGATCAATCAGAGATCAAGACAGAAAGTCTGTACACAAAGCCATAATGTTTACAGTCTTTCTGTGATTCTGTGATACAAGAATAGTGGCTAATGCAGTCAAGCTATAAGAGGATGTTTGTAACAGAATGACATTTTGAAGATTGGACACCCTATATACCGAGCTTGTTAACTCCATCCTACTATTTTTTATAAGTGAAACTTCAAAACCAATGAATGATTTACAGTATGTTGAAAAATTTCGCAATATCCTTTAACGATACTTTTTATTAATTTTGTGACACGTGATCGAGGTGTGTATTAAAGAGCGTACTGGATATATTCAACAAGTCAATTGAAGAAAAGTCTTTTTGCAGATTTTTGTAGACTTAAGACAGAAAATACAACATCAGAATACATTAAATATGAAACTTCTTTTCAATCATTGTAATGCTTAAAATGTCAAATGGCATAATAAAATGTTCTATTCTTAAACCAGTAAGTATTCATAATAGATCAAAAGCAGCATACCATGCGGAGGCGTCATAGTCTTTAGTATCACCTTCCAGCTCATCTTCACAATGCCAAATTTCGTCTTATACCTTGACTGCAAGAGCCGACTTGTATCACGCATTGTATTTGATTGGATTGTCCTTGACAGAACGTTTACAGTCTATATTCGGTGGCGTACAATCCAATCAAATCGCAGTATTTGTGAGAGAAGAAAGGTGACTATTGTAGTCAAGATGTAAGACGAAGTTTGTAATAGCTTGACATTATGAAGATGCTTGCAAATTCTATGACACACGATTTCATATGTACTGGCACTGAATTTTATGAAATAGTAGAAATAGTATCATATTGTAGATTGTAGCTAAAAGTCTCTGTTTGTCGAATTATTGTGATATAGAGTCTCAGATTATTTCCCTATAGAAATGAAAAGATCATCGTGAATTGTTTTTCATTACCAAAACGGTGGAATATTTCCTTTCCCAAAACTCCTTTGAGTTACATAGTTTTCTTAGAGAATAAACAATTATGGATGATTCGAGGACGCTTCAGTACTTCCGTGGCGCAAGATTAAATACCGTAATTGAGTCATCGTAGACTAAGATTAAATTCTGTAATTGAGTCATCGTAGACTAAGATTAAATTCTGTAATTGAGTCATCGTAGAGCAAGATTTAATTCCTTAATTGAGTCATCGTAGAGCAAGATTAAATACCTTAATTGAGTCATCGTAGAGCAATATTATTTTCCGTAATTTAGTCATCGTAGAGCATGATTAAATTCCGTAATTTAGTAGAACAAGATTATATTCCGTAATTTAGTCATCGTAGACCAATAATAAATTCCATAATTTAGTCATCGTAAAGCAAGATTATATTCCTTAATTTAGTCATCGTAAAGCAAGATTATATTCCGTAATTTAGTCACCGTAGACCAAGATTATATTCCGTAATTTAGTCATCGTAGAGCAAGATTATATTCCGTAATTTAGTTTACGTAGAGCAAGATTATATTCCGTAATTTAGTCATCACAAAGCAAGACCCTTATAAATCAGTGTTGTGATCATTTGAACTTCGCCAATTAAAATGATCAATCAGGAATTGATTGAACCCTTATTAATGTAAAGTTAGAGATAGCATCATTGCAATCTGTCACCACCCCATCAACATTATTCTAAATCAACCATTACCGGAAGAACGTGACAAGCGAGACCGCTTACACCATTGTTGAATTAGCTTTAAATTCGATGTGTTTCCGTGCGCAAAGCTACGCTAATCTAGTAGTTTTCGTAAACTAAATAAAATTTCCGTTACACTCAGTGATTCTGAAAAGGAAAATGAACACAGTATCAATCTATTGACAAGTGAGTCTACTTTATTCCTCTAATCATCTTCACTTAAATAGAAGTAAATGCCACTAATTTCATATACAAAGGCACACTTTTACATGAATGTTAATCAATGTTTTAAACATCGGTTGAATTACCAATCAAAACACTACATATAAATCTCAATGCTTTCAATAAAACATTCACTTTACAAAACGGAGAAACAACTGCGCACACATCTAAACCTGATACAAAGTTTACTCCTATTCGCCTTTACATGAAGGTTGAAATCAGCATGAATACAGAAGTACAGTAACACATTTGCAGGAAACGCCAGATCAGTTGCAATTGAACATGACTGAGGCGGCATGAGTTCGGATCATCCTCAAAGTAAGAAAAAGTCTGATCCCTGTGCCAGTGCTTCTGAGAATCGTCCCGGTGTCCGCTTTCAACCCCTAATACCCAATCTAATTTAAATTTGGTTACTATTTCGTTTCGTTTTTTTTGGGGGAGGGGTATTCTCCATTGTAATCTGACGAGATTTATAATAAGTTCGCGTACTGGTGGTCACTATACATGCTATTTAGAGCAGTCAATCATGCGCCACTATACAGTCCATCAGAATTACTTTTACTACCGGTCATATCGGTTTTGCTATCCCACGTTTCAAAGTCTATATTTAGACACGGATTCTATTTAACGGACTGTTTGGTTGGAATGAATGTTAACAGTACGTGTGACCTTGGTATAATTCCTTTTAGATTACAATGGAGACCGAAAATAAACAAATCAAAAACCAAAATTATAATCTAATTTTAATGAGACTGTCTACTACCTTGCCAAGCCATTAAGGATCATTCTATATACATTCTCTGGCAATATTAAATAAAAACCAATACAATAGTCCAAGTCGTTAATTTAAATTTTAAATCGGTTGTAACTGGAAAGTTAAATGTTTTTCGACAACAATGAAACAAAGTTTAGTAAAACAGGTGTCGAAATATAGGACCTTCTTAAAGAAAGATGACACAAGACTGACAATCCATAATTGTAGCACAATGTTCATACTGCTTCTTTGCTGCAACCATTTCGATCACCCAGTTTGTCCTTACCGATATGATGTCATGATCTTTCTTGTTTGAGTTTCTGTAAAGACTTTTATCCACCGCGTGGAGAATTGACAGAACATTGATAACTTAAGTTTCTTACTAATTTTGCATTGCAAAAAATCATTGTTAGAAAGATTCTTTGATTCTCCATAACTTCGACGACGGAAGACAGTTAAGGGAAATAACTCGGAAAATCAAACGACCCCATTGTGATCATGAAAATATTGATAACTTTTCATGATGTGCACTATTTTTGTTTTGAGCAAAGAAAATAAAGAAAAATATCTTAAGCAGAAAATTTCGTTTAATTTTTTGTATAAAATTTTGATTCCAAAATATTGACGTCACAAAAAGTCATAGTTTGGTTTCGTGGTATTTGATATCTGTGGTCCTTGAAATACACAACACCAATTTTAGAGAATTACATTTTCGTTTGGGGTGATCTGAGTAGTTTACTGGTTGTGATTCAAAAGCCGATACAACATTAAAGGGACATTCCACTTTTTTGTAGGTCGAATAATTTTTTTGCTCAAATTTGCGAAAACTATAAACCAAAATCTATAGAAATGTATCCCATAGCGTATCTGAAAGTCTTAGCAAAATAAATCTAGCCGACAATTTTTTAACACCAAAACTTTACATAAAAAACCTTTAAGTTTGTTATGCTTTTTGCTGTTATAAAACTACTGTAAGGATTTGAGTAAAATAAATTCCTTTTTGTAGAGAAATATGTCTTCTATGTTTTCTAAAGATTTCCATAAAATATAATTACCCTTTGAAAAAAATTCATTTTGATCAAATAAATACATGTTTTACAAAAAGAAAAACGGAATGCCCCTTTAAAGTGTCATTTTTAACAAAGAATTCTAATGATGAAAATGGCAAATGCACTATGTTCGCATGTTCTCCATGCTTTCGTATTCAGTTTTATGACTTGTGAAGCCGTCTATATTATACCCATATTTTATATTTTGATAGACCTAGATGTACATAGCTATCTTTAAGATTTATGGTATTTGTCAATAATATATTGTTGTCAACCATTATTTTTTGTTTATTGAATCTTTCAATTTTAGAATATATAACCCTGTTCAAGAAGTTTAGACGTTTTTAATTTTACATGTCATCTGACTCCGTCAATTGATAGATCAAGATGTTTGTAGTAAATTATTGCAAGAAAACCACACGTAGCAATCCCTTGTCATTTTGTCCCACACAGTGACACTTAGAAGTAGTCATCGCGCTTATTCGTTTCGAAAGCATTTTTGAATAACGCGCTCATACGCCCATCCACCTACACGCCAAAAATACCCTATATATTTATGGTATTTGACCTGGATAAAAGTCAACATTTATTTGTTTATCTAATCTGTTAAGTTTGGCTACTGTGTCCGACATTTATATTTGTCATTTTGACATTCTTAAATTCAGAAACTCATTATTCAACGTCATGTTTATATAATATCTATTGTACATATACTAAAGTGCAACAAACAATAACATCTAAACAGGATTTATAGGTTATAGTATATACATGGTTATATTTGAAAGGTCAAGGCGGGTCAATGTAAAGGTAACCGTTATACTTATATATCCCGTTAAATGAATTATCATTAGTTTCATAAGTTTCATTAATTTATATAACAATTCTAGAGGCATCTGGGCAAACATAACATAAGACAGTTTAAATAGGTAAGTAATTCTTATTCTTTTTGAAAAAGATAAATATGTCGCCTTTGTGTCAATATTCTTAACCCTGATAGTGATGTAAATTTCCCCAGAGTTTCTTCCCCTCAAAGACAGTTGCTATAACTACGGGAAGGTGATTTCAAATAGGATAATCCATTGTTAATGGATCTTATCAGTGGCGTAGCGAGGATTTCACAGACAGTGGCGAGGAGTCACTTTGCGGATTTTACTTGTCATAGTGTGGGGTCATTTGGGGCTTTCCCTGGAAAATCCGCTAAAATGGGAAACCGGAGAATACATCTATCGCGATTTTTTAAGTAAAGGTAATTTTTATGGCTTGATGGCTTGGGGGAAATGGACCAAAAATTACGCCACTGTGTCTGATTTATCTGACGCCTTTCCTGGTGGATTATAGACACATTCATGCGATCAATATATTCAAAATGTTATACTCAAAATGCTACAGTTATCAAGTTCTCCTCGAACTGGGTCACAACTAGGTCAAACAAGACTTACGCTTTCAGTATACTCAAATATATACGTTAAAGCTAAAGTAAGGATCGATTACATCTTTTTAATACTTAGGCCTATACCTGCACCGTAAAGCATACTATAGTCGGCGAATGTGGTTTATCATTTCCAAATATGAAAGTTGACATGTAGATGAATTTATGAGAATTATACCTTAAGTATAATAGATAAATTTTAAGCAAACTATTCATTATATTGTAGATACTTTAATCGATAGAGCTAAACTTGTAAACAAATAAACAGAAATGATGTTCAGGTCTATGTTTAAAGATACGAAAGTATTGGTGCATGTATTGGTGTGTTTATTTGGTATATCGTCATGGATAGATATAAACGGACTATGGGTGGAACTACCATTAATGGTAACAAGGTTACCTGAAGCCTGGAATTTACCATCGTATATGACAGTTATAACACAAACAGCTAATATTGGGCCACTTTTGTTTACATTGATAACCTGTGTATTGAAGGGTAGAAAATTAGAATCGCCTGTTTCTTTACTCATAATATTAATTGGATGTGTGACTTGTGTTCTTTTAGGATTCTTCTGGCACCAAACTACTGTCATTGGGGGTGACCTTCACAGCACAGCTCTGCTAACGTTAAATTTCATTTTGGCTCTTGTAGACTGCACCTCATCTATTGCGTTTCTAGCGTTTATGGCAGCTCTAAAACCTCAATATATGCCCTCATTTTTTATTGGTGAGGGCTTAAGTGGAATGGTTCCTAGTTTAACTGCTCTAGCCCAAGGTGCAGGACAAATAACATGTGTAAATGTTTCCAGTACCAACTCCACTCAAGTCAACACTACGTGGTATAACCATACAACATTTAATGTCTATCCAAACTATAATGAACCACGGTTCTCTGTTCAAGTTTTCTTCTTTATTTTAGCGTCCTTGATGTTTTGTTCACTTGTCGCGTTTTTGTTACTTAAATTTAGTTCTTATTGTCAATCAGAGAAGGTGGAAATGGACATTACAGTTGATGGCCAGGACAACATCCATCAAAATTATGGAACGAATAACGCTGACAAAAAGTATAGAATTTCGACCGAAGATAAAGGTTTTTCAACGGGAATCAAAGTAATTTTATTATGTGTTGTGTCCTGGATAAACTTCAATGTGTCCAGTTTTTTACTATCTATCCAGACATATTCTACACTTCCTTACGGTTTGAATCCATATCATTTAACAGTAACATTGACTAACATAGCTAATCCTGTAGCATGTTTTACAGCCATGTTCATTCCGCTCCTCTCAGTTCCAGGAATCGTGGCATTTACTTTTTTCGGTTCTGTGTGTTGTGCCTATATTATAACTGGTGCTGCTTATAGTCCTCAATCACCATTAGTTGACAGTAATAGTGGAGGTCCCTTGATGGTAAGTGTCCCGTTTAAAAATTATTGTCGTAAGTATGGTATTTCTTAATCTGAATTCCATACATACGACAAATTTCTATTGTTATTATTATTTTTTTTTTGAGAAATGGAGCTCATTGTTATATTATTAAGTATTTAGCCTTTTTATTACAATCTAAATATCTTAGTGCTCTACCTTGGGTTCGCTATCCCATATTTCTCTCGGGTAATGAGAAAGGGATCCCAAAACTAAGCTTTGATTGATTACAAATCACCTTATTAGAACGAGACTGTGGTAGTAAACTTGTTAGATAACTAAGGAGTCGAAAATATCAGAAAAGAAAGAAATTTAGTTAGATTGGTAATACTAAAATTAGATTTCTGATTTGCTGTGGTCATGCATTCTAAATTTTGACAATGTCCTCCTTCAAATCAAGGCAATCCCGATGTCAAGCCAGGTTTACCAGTTATTTTTCAGTACAGGTACTATTCAATGTTCGAAAATGTGGTGACTTCTATTTGAGAACATTTCTTTTTCATTAAAATAAGATATAAAAGATTTAGTGACGTTATCTTCAGTGAATGAACGAAACCAAATAAGTCGAACCGAATTTTAATTCGATGCACTACAAAACAGTTTCAATGAAATTGAAAGTAGGGTTTCCTTAGAAAATGCTGTCTGATCAATTGTCATTTTAAGAACTGGGTTTAAATCATATTAGTACACTGAACTAGAGCACAAGTTGAAGTTACACATTACGCTTGTGAGATCACTTGTTTGATAAAAGCCTTCCATACATCGGTTTATTGGAAGGTTGGGTATTTATTTGATCTATTTTACGGACCACTATATACACAGAATGTAAATACATGTAAATACAAAAAAACAAATGAAAAGTATGTCAGTGGCGGATCATTCCTCGAATTAAAGAGAATTCAACTATGTGATCCTCCTTCTCGAATCAGCCACCCTGTATTGACAAAATTTTTAAAAAATCAAACCGATAAATAAGAAATGATGTATACTCTTTCTTCTTGTATCAAATATTACCGTACTTGATCCACCATTTACAATTTCCAATCATTTTTCTTGATTCTGATTTCTGATCCTGATTGATAGGTATGTCTTCAGTCCAATGAATGTAGTTCATACCAAGATCAATCGTAGATCAACATCCTGCTCAGTCCACATTGTTTTGATAAGCCGATGCATGCCCTTCTGCTGAATTACTCACTCCTTCTATTTAGTCAATGTTCCTTCTGATCAACCTTTCTGATTTGTCAATAGTCCTTATATTATGATCAGGCCATAATCGCTCTAGTTTCCTGTTGTCATTAATTGTACATTTGTTGCACTATTTATTTTTCTATTGCAGGTTACTGTGTGGGTGTTGTGTTTTTATTTATTGACGTATGCGAAAGTTGGAGTAGCCAGTGTTTTGCGTCAAGGTGGCCGCAATGCATTGATTCTTTGTGGAATCTTCACTCAAATCGGAAGTTTTCTCGGAGCTATAGTTGGGTTTGTATTGAATAATGTTTACCACGTCTTCGATGATGCGCCATATTGTTAAGCGGTAGCAGACGACTCATTTCTGCAATTTGAATGTAAACTTGGGATATTTAGTACCTTTGAGCAATCTCCGATGGTGATCGGAATGAATGCACTTTTAGGAAATCTGGAAGCATCGGGACAGAAAATAACATTGCTCCATCATCCTAATTTGATCAACAGCTAAAAAAAAATACCACTAATATAAATGTGAAAGCATGCTGATGAATATCAAGTTGTAATCGATTCATGTTTGTTTTCTGATTGTGACCTCACCTGTCATCATTTGAGGAAATTGGTATTACATATATAAATTTTATATTATAAATATTAGTGTATTCAACCAATCGGATGATCTGTCTAATAAAATCATTGCTTACCATATAACTGTTTACTATTGAACATTATAGCCTATCTATTGTAACAATGTTTAATTTGCTTTTTTTAATAAATGAAGTAATGTACAACGTTTTGGCTTTAACGTTTAGTCTGAACTGAAACAAGTTGATCATGTACATTAAGACACCATCGGTCACTTCAAGAGAAGAGCATGTTTGTCTGAATTTAGAGTTATTTCCCTTGCATTGGAGAGAGAAAGTCGAGTGATAAAAACAACATCGATCTTTCGCTGTTTTTTCTTTGTGACTGAATCGCCTGTATATCAAATCCGAGTAGTCTCTTATTCTCAATGGAATCGTCGCAGTCGACATGAGCAAAGAGCTAAAAAGGAAAAATGAATACTTTCAACTGACATGGACTTTTACCATCCAGGTAATTGCGGGTTTTCAGTCGTAGATTTTATCCAGCGATCAATCATATTATTCTTAATGACATCATCTGTTAGGCGTCGTTGATAATCAGATTTTGTCTGTAGCAATAACTAACCGCCATTTCAAAATATTCGTAGATGTTTCCAACAGACTTCAATCAAACAACTAGGAAATGTAGTTTAATTTTTTAACCCCCGAATCACGATATTGGTCGTTATTTAAAATGTTTCTTATGAAATGTCGCTTTTAACATCGCCCCACCCCCACCTGGCTGAAATTGCTACACCTCACGAAGGTGACCACAAAATTTGTCACCTAAAACTCCTCCATGGCATTAGCTTCCGAAACGGCGTTGAAACCTAGTATCAAACGAAATGAAAACACATTATACAGTATCACTGAAGCACTTTTAATGTAAAGCAATTTACAAGGCATTTACAAATAAATGTTATCAAACATACGGTAAATATGTACCATCTTCATATGTATACATGATGTGGAATTTAATCTGGCAGTACCAGAGGTATATATCTAGTTAATGGACAATTGATTCGTGCAAATATATTTTATGATTAATATCAGCTGGAACAAATGAAAAGATGATAAACTACATCCATTAACTACTGAACACTGAAACATTTAGTTCATTGCTATCAGCAGCACAAAGAGCATCGAAAACATAAATTGGCAGAGCGAACAACAAAATTATATGTGATGTAAAAAAAAAAAAAACTTATATTGCTATTTATCAAGAGGTTTTGCCCATTGATTTCATATGGATTTCGGAGAAAGGAGGGTTGGATTCTCCATACCTCATAGTAATAAGCTAATATCCCTAACTTAAAAAAAAAACTAACCATTGCGAAAACAATTATTACAAAAAGGCATCACATGTACTTTTCTAGCATGAGTATAATAGTGTGTATCTTATATTATCGAGATTATCACATTAAATTTTTATGCATTGTGAACTTCAATTACATTGTATGTAATATTCATGAAACATTCATTTGTTTACTGTACTAGGTGACTTCCCCGATGCACTTAGATATATATGTTTGAGTAAGAAAGATCGACTTATTTTTATACCAGCTGTGGTAGTCAATAAAAACTAGTTTTTTCAAACTTTCTCCATGGTCTTAGCAGTGTGTCAAATATAATATGCACATTATTGGTAGGATTATATTATTTTATTAGAACCCATAATATCTACCAAATTGTGTTTAAATACGAGATCAAATTCTATGTCAATACTTTATTTTATGCCTTAAGTTATCCATGTTCATTGTGAAAGGTACCATGGAAATTATTATTGATTCGTGACAGTATCGGCACCAGTTCTACGACATTCTAATCAAGATCAACTTCAGATTATGACAATTACTGGAAATACGAAACTACATATGGTTCTTACATGGTAATAACACACACGAACGTAGCTCACAACCATTTTGAATCTCTTCCTCGACTTAATAAGTCGAATATTTAAAAAGACGATTATATTTCAACAAAGCCTTCAAATCATATTTCAAGCCATTTCTAAACCTTTAAATGTGATTTGAAGGCTTGATTGAAAGCCTTTCAAAAACTAAACTTATGATGTCGAGCAAGAGATTCAAAATAGTCGTGAACTACGTTTGTGTGTGTTATTTTCATGTAAGAACCATATGTAGTTTTGTATGAGCTACTGGATTGTCAACGATTGCTTGCCATTGGCTAGACTGAACTATCCCAATTTTCATTCGTACTCATCAGTTGCTTATGCCAGTTGAGACTAAGTGAGAATGAGACCCCTTTACTACTATCCAGTATTGCGTAAATAAATACCCTGGAATAAATTGTTTGAGTTGCGACTATAACTTAAATAAGCTTTTACAAATAAGTAAAAAAACAACAACCATGTTTGACATACTATTGTTTTTACTGTTTTAGTCTTTCTGTACCCCAACGAAACTTTATAAAATGGACAACTTCATGCATTGTGCAATCAGGAAAAATTTACTCCGCGTTATCATCTTTTCATCTCGTCATTTTCAAACTTTTCATTTTCTAAATCGTAAAAAGAGGTAGATTCCGCTGTCCTGACAATATGTCCCTCATTACACACCGCTTGATGATGTCTTAAGCCCGATGGGGTACAGAAAAGTAGACCATAAAACATCAATTGATCAGACAACCAATGTCTCAACTCGATGTGTGTCTTAATATCGATGAAGGCGAAATTACATGCATTTTGATAATCTATCCTTTTTAAAACAGAATTAATAAGTGTTAAAGGTTTAATTTTGGTTGGAATTATTAGCACTTTTGTGAACAATCTTCAAATAATTAAATTATACTACATAACAAACAACGGATTCAACATAACATTTTGATAACTAATATAACAAAATCAGAAATCTGAATTAAAAACTTTTCTAAATATTGCGTTCATTTTAATTTCACTGAGTTCAATCACACAATCTACGTCACACAGTATTTTGATAAAAGCATGTTCATTGATTCAACTAATTGAATGCCCTGTTATGAAAGTTTTGTTCTCACTACCGCCCTCATGTCCTTATGTCGGTAAAAGGAATTTTATTGATTATTTTAAGTAAATAGGAATATCTCTCAGGAAATCACGTGTCATACGGTTAAATTGGCGAAACCTTGTTCCTTATTTTCTTTTTACCGGTATTAACCGCAAATCCGTACTGACAACCTGATTAAGACCTTTATGACATATTTTACTCAGTATGAGCCCACTTTTGCCGACACTACCAGTTTGAAGTTATCATTTTACTTCATATAAAAATAACTGGTAGAATTCTATTTACAGACGAAAGTGCGCAGACAGTGGTGAAGAACTTTTGAATATTCAGTGAACGAACACTAAACTGCTTGATGTCAAAACAAATTTTAACAGATCAAGAATGAGTTGAGCAGAAAAAAAACGAAAGGAACTATACAGAATCGATTGATTAAATCAGTTCATCTGATTGGCTAAATCAGTTCAGCTGATTGATTAAATCAGTTCATCTAATATTTGATTTCATGACAAAACAACATTTTATAACAACTAAGCCATATAGTCTGGTGGTCTAATGTTCTTTCCAGCTTGACTACGAGTAATGCGATCCCACACAAACGGCATTTGATGCCTAGCTTCTTGTTTATTTTGAACCAGATTATCAGTTTGATCCAATGGATCCATATTCACTCCTTCTTTGGGTAAGGAATCCCCGTTAAGAGAAGAACTATCACATAGTTTTTCTCGTTCTGATAAATTAGTAGTACTTGAACACGACACAGTGTTATCAATAACACCCGAATCACATTTATTACTATCTACAGTGTCCGCCGCACTCTCACCTTTAAAAGATTTGGCAGGAATCGGACCCAAATCTAACGACTCCTTCCTTTTCCTATGTCCGAAAAACTTTTTATGCTTGTAAAAACTATCTTCGTTTGTGTCATTTCCACCAGAAGAAACGTCATCTTGAGAATTATCATTTGAAATTGTCGAAGGACATAATTCTTCAGATTTCACGTTATTACAGACTACGGGCTCCGTGACGCAGCCAGTCGATGATTGCGGAACGGATGATCGCGCACTGTCTGCAAGGGTATCTGAACTACTATCCGGGCACGAAAGAGTCGTCATTTGATCAGCCTCCTGAATATCGACGTGACTGGAAACTGTCGTATCGCCTTGCGATTCATACGTTTTCTCACCTACACCTAGCTTATCATGGTCAGGTTGTCCAGACTGTCCATGTACCGACTGAATATGGAGAAGCAGTTCTTTGTAGTCAATAAAATTATGATGACAATATTTACAAGAATTCACGTTCACAACTGATTCTTTACCATGTACAGTTTTAAGATGATCTTCTAAATACAGTTTATTGGCGTACGGTATCTTACAATATTTGCACACATATGTTTCAGATTCATGCTGCAACATATGGTCTTCCAAAAGTTGTGGCTCGTGAAATGAACAACTACACATTTGACAATGAAAGGGTCCAATAGTTCGAGTTTGATTATGCTGCCTACAGTGTCTCTTGTACGAACCAAAATCATTGAGCTGAAAGGTTTGCTTACATTGTTCACATTGCAAGCATTTAGTGTCATCTGTTTCTTCCTTGCAGGGCAATACTTGCCGACTTTCGGCTGAACGACTTCCCATTGGTCTAATCGATTCCGTCATCGATACAGGTTTGAGCAATTTGGAATCGCTAGCAGCTCTCTCGCGTACTTTAGGAATGTCAATACCATCGTAAATAGTACCATCTGGAACTGGTTGAAATCCCCTTGGTGACTGCATAGCGTCATTGGGAATATTCGGCATTCCTGGAATGTGCTGCATGGCATTTTTGGTTGCAGAAATTGTATGAACAATTGTATGCTCTGCACGCGGTTCAAAACCATGTTGGTTCCTAAAGTGTTTCCGGAATCCATATGGACTTCCGTATGTTTGACGGCACAGTCGACATATAAGATACAATATATCACTAGGGGGATGTGTTCCTATGATATTCTGTACGGGTTCGTGTCTAGAAATAGATCCCCGTTTATCCTTATCCAAATCTAATGATGAACTGCTACACTGACTAGAAGGTCTGGAAATGTTAGCTTCAACAACCGTTCCTCTGTCGACATCCAGAGCCTTGTCTACAGGTGATGGTATATGATTAGGTACCTGTGGCGATTGAGACGTCGATCCATGTGAATAGCTAGTTGATAGAGTTGGTGATGGGAGAGGGTGTAGTTGAGGTCGCATCCCCCCTGGAGAACCTAGCTGATCTGGCATCATACCGGGAGTCATTGCAGCCGATGTCTCTTGGATGCGATTTGGTTCAACTCTGTGTTGATATTGAGATATATTGGTATGGGGAGGTAAATAATGTTCATGGCTACTCACACTTTCGACTTCAACAAACGGCTTGTGTTCTGAATGATGGGTGACGTGGCGAATAGATCTTTGGTCTACGAATCTATGATCAGGTAAGTTTGTTTTAGAGAAACTGGGGGCACTAGGATGAGCATCACGTTCTTTATAAACGGGAATATTACGTTTTACAGTGTCGTGATATTGCTGGTTCTGAGCAGATGGTTTCTTTTTAGAGAGATCTAAAGGTTGGTCTACCTGATTAATTGCCACTGGATTGGTTCCGTAATTAAGACCGTATGAGGGGGCACTTATTTGCACTTCATTGGGTAACATTGCATTCTTTGAATGACTACTAATAGGAGGTTTCGACCTATGAAAACTGGGTTCTGTTACTGGTCGAAACCCTTCAACGTGTTTTCTTTCTCTATACATCATATCTATTCCATTGTCATTTCTGTTTTTCTTTTGATGTAACAATTCTTCATTGTACATCAATTGCGCCTTTTCTCTTTCGGCTAGGGTGTCTTTGACTCGTGTGAAAGCGGATGGGTGGTTACCATATCGCTGTGGTGAGTGCGGAGAGAGGTTCCGCATATCTCTATTATGAGGCGATAACCTTGACTGATACTGCGGAGAGCTACTTGGAGAAATCCGTGATGGCATCAATAAATTTGACGGATGCTGTTTGGGTGAACGCTTTAGATCTTCCATATGGGCTCTGTGTGATGAACATGCCATACATGGACAGGCTTTATTATAGGGGTGAGGAATGTGCGTATCATTGATTTGGTCAACACAAAGTAAAGGTGGTGGTAGACGCTGTTGCATCAAAGCTCCAGGTGGATAACACCTAAGAAGATGGTGAGCGGCCAAAGAGTTTGGGTCCACGCTTGACGTCATTGGCATCGAATATGAGTATCGAGAAAGCATCATCATATTTTCACGGGCTGCAGCTTGTCGCTGTGCTTCATTAATTACTCTGGGATCAACATAATGATCAGATATATCAGGTTGGATATAGGAATTGGCTTTATGGTGTGTATTGGTGTCCTTAAGACGAACTTGGCTGTATCCTATTTGTCTCTCAGAAATGTCACTCGCGTGCGAAGATGGTGTACTTCGGCTCGGGTAGATGTCTTCACGAGAACGATTTGAAGGTGTATGTTTTGTCACCTTGTAGTGTTCTGCATCATTATACTGCTTAACGTGACGCTTGGAAAAATTATGAGAATACGGTTCTACCCTGGAAGAGTTCACCGTTTTCACTATACTTCTTTCATACGACTGTTGAGAGGAAACAGGAGTTGATGGGGGAACTTTTTCTTGTGGGTGTGCTGGATGTGCTATGCTGCTTGTGGTAGATGGAGTACCAGGAGTTAAAAGTTTACTGATCATTTCAGTTTGACTGAAGATCCTATCAACTATATCTTGTACACTAATAGTTCCATCAGGGTTTGTGATAAGAGTTTGTCGCGGATTTAGTAAGGAACCAACAGTTTTACTTTGACCATCATTATTTGGTTTGCTTGAACTCGAGGAAGCTGGTCTGGAGACACTACCACTTTGAACACAGCCAACCTTAACAGAAGCTTGGGAAGAATCATTTTTTTCAATTTCAGTTTCATTTTCATTGTCACTCATTTGAGCAAAGTTTCGTTCTAAAGCCTTTTCTATGTGGGCCATGAGACATATATCCCCTGGATTTGAGGCGCCATCATTTTCGTTATTATTTTGACTTTTTTCTACACACCTAGTAACTTTCTCACTGACAGCCTTCGCAGATTCAGCAGCTATCTCGTACGTGGTACTAACCTTTGATTTATTGTCACCAGTACCATTTACTTTTGAGTTTTCATTGGTAGAGTCAAGTGGTCTTAAGAGTGAAGGGTCACCCAATGAATTATCCAAGACTTTATCAACTAATGTTTGAAGAGGTACACTAGATATCCCACTAGCTTTTAAACCGGATGTAACTGATGAATTAATAACTGATGAATTGATAGCCGATGATACAGTAGCAGTAGTAGTAGTTGAGGTACCACCATCAGAACTTGTACTGGATAAAACACTAGATTGAACACTGTTATTGGCCATTACCTCCTGTGATGTGTCCTTTTCTTTTACTTTGCTAATGTCTTCATCATTTTCACAGTTCACTATCATATCACGTATATGCATTTCTAGAAGCGAGCTAAATGACTGTGCAGAGCTAAATGATTTATCAGAAGACAATTTTGATGTCTTTTCACTTTCGACAACCTTTTCGCCACTCGAGGTTTCATCCCCTGTAGAATTTGGTTCATCAGATTTGTCTTTGTCCTCCATTTCATTTTTCATGATGTAGTTACTACTAATTCCTTCTGACGATTGAGGATTACTCAAACATGATTCTATTAGTTTATTAATGGCGACTCTTAATGATAATTCCGTTCCTTTATCACTGGCCAATGACTGGTGTTGTCCCATGACTTGACTGATCTGAAAGATACAAACATTACCCATATTATAACGTGATAAGTAACTACAGAAAAATCTTTAAATAGAAGAGTTAATAATTAATGTGAGCTTAAGATTTACGGTTATAAAGCTCATCACTGATTCGGTGGGAATTTATGTCAACAAATTAAGAGGGAATAATTGAGTGATTCCGACAAGGACTATATTACCAAAGTTGTATACAGTTTGTTGTATACAGCTTGCTTGAATGGGCCTTAAGATTCAAAGACAGTAGTCATGATTAATCTATGTTCTTTTCTGTTGCAATGAATTATCTTTATAATCTTTGTGTACAATGTAAGTTTTTTGGTCTACGTGATCACGACTCGTTAGTTTTATCAAAACCCTAGTACTTTTTACTAACTGATAAGCACCTAAACACCTTAAAGTTTGTCAGAGCGTAACATTTGCGTCAGTACAGGGAGGGGGCGGGGGCATTTGCATTTACGCCCAATTGTATCTCCACATCATTTCTAACAAAATTGAAAATTTTGACACAAAGCATCAGCATTCAACAAATCAATTCAATTTTTCAAAAGTACTCTCGATAGAGAACTCTCTCTGATGTTCCCGGAGGCTTGTGCCTATCCACACCACATGACTAACGCGTCTTTTAATCTCAACCCCCACAGTTGCCCCCCATTTATGGCGGGGGAAAGCGGCAAACACCTACTGCTATGCAGAAATGTCTAATTCAACACACAAATTAACATAATGCAATACCAAATACTTAAAACGTGAAATGCTAAAGACAAAATACAAGAAACCTCTAATACAAAATACCTCATACGTCTAAAACAAAAGACAAAATACAACAAACATCTAATACAAAATACATATAACCTCTTATGCATAATTGATTATACAATCTGAAACATCTACCATAAGCATTAGATGACATATCTCGTTAACATTACTTACATTTCTCCCCTGAATTATCTTTATTTAGGTCAATGTCAAGGTCGAAGTATTTTCTAATCGACACAAAAATTTCTCCCAAACTAAAGGGGTAACTCTTGTTGGGTTATAGTCAAAATGTCAAAAGTTTACATTTTCTATCTTTTCTTTCAATCTTTTTAAATCTTCCAGTTTCAATATCTAAATTATGTGCTAATAATCTTATCTTACCAATATTGAAATTTGAGATAAGATGTTGATACAGCAGTCCTTTTGGAGAAATACAAATATTTTAAAACAAGATTGTTTAAAAACATCAAGTAAAGCTATTTTGACTTTTGGGACATTTTGACTTGTTATGTCGATTAGAAAATTAGACATTGACCTAAATTAAGATAATTCAGACGAAAAATGCAAGTAATGTTAACGAGATATGTCATCTAATGCTTATGGTAGATGTTACAGATTGTATAATCAAATGTGCATAACAGGTTATATGTATTTTGTATTAGAGGTTTCTTGTATTTTGTCTTTTGCATTAGACGTATGAGGTATTTTGTATTAGAGGTTTCTTGTATTTTGTCTTTTGCATTAGACGTATGAGGTATTTTGCATTAGAGGTTTCTTGTATTTTGTCTTAGCATTAGACGTATGAGGTATTTTGTATTAGAGGTTTCTTGTATTTTGTCTTTTGCATTAGACGTATGAGGTATTTTGTATTAGAGGTTTCTTGTATTTTGTCTTTTGCATTAGACGTATGAGGTATTTTGTATTAGAGGTTTCTTGTATTTTGTCTTTAGTATTAGACGTATGAGGTATTTTGTATTAGAGGTTTCTTGTATTTTGTCTTTTGTATTAGACGTATGAGGTATTTTGTATTAGAGGTTTCTTGTATTTTGTCTTTAGTATTAGACGTATGAGGTATTTTGTATTAGAGGTTTCTTGTATTTTGTCTTTTGTATTAGACGTATGAGGTATTTTGTATTAGAGGTTTCTTGTATTTTGTCTTTAGCATTAGACGTTTCAGGTATTTGGTATTGCATTATGTTACATTTGTGTTTGAATTAGACATTTCTACATAGCAGTAGGTTTTTTGCCGCTTTCCCCAGCCATACCCATTAAGCCAGTCTGCTCCTTATTTGTACCTCATGTCTCGGAGTGCTGGGATCGCCACTGTCTGTATAAATATCAGCAGCATTGATTGGTCAGGTTGTGATCGGAATGCCTATTTGGCTTGGATTGGATTCTGGTCTTATTTTTTGGAATTAAAAGATCTGTAGACGTGGTAGAGCCAAAGATACGAGAACCTCTTTGCAGTCCTGTTAAAGATTGAATAATAAGCCAAAAATGCAATTAAAATTGTACGTTCTGTAAAAAGGGATGCCAAGTAAACCCAGTCGAAGTGTGGCATTAGGCTTACAACACCAGTAAAAAATTACTTATCAAAGTTCACTTCAAATTCTATAAAGTGTTTTTCTTTCAACTTATTTGACAATAATAGATATTTACTATGTACAGAAATTGAAACATGTTCTACTTGATAAAATATTCTGAATAAAAATTAGTTTTAGATCTATATTTGTCATCAACTATGTTTAACTTTAAATTTTTAACATCCATTTTTAACTTTATATTTAAAACACGTCAACAATGCAGTCATGCACGAAGGGCATGTATAGTACGACTGGATTCTGTACATATTCACAGTGAAAACGTCCAAACAATGCGACCTAGACTAAATATAAACCTTTTGAACCGCTACACAATATGTCTATTCATTTCATTGTTAAAATCGTCCATTTTACTGGAGTTATTCAATATTGCACAGATAAATAAAGTGTTATTATTAAACATTTTGATATTAACTTGAAACTTTACAAACTTGGCATACAATATTATATAGTGCAAAATTTGCTAACTCTATATAGATTATGTCGAACCAGCTACCCTGGTTTCTAATTTCTCACATTTGGTGAAATTTTAAAAGAGGGTTCTTTAGTACCATCTGTGGTAGTAGCCTGGGGCCTCAGGGAAGTGTACGACATTATGGAAGACATTACCACTATTCATCCTTATCCAATCATTTCGGCGCTACGTACGAAAATTATGATCTATAGGTTATTATATCTTACAACAATTCATATTTTCATTATCTCATTCATATCCTCACCTATTTCTATCAAATATTATCAATTTTAAATGAAAATCATAAGCTAGAAACAACATCAATAGAAAAAGGGTACACAATAGAAAGAAGATTTTTCGTAGATCAAACTACATGATCACATCACAAAGAGGGTCTGTTTTCAAAACATAACCCCAAGATAATAGTAAACGTTAAAACAATGAACTGATTGGTTGATGTTATCGCAGGGAAGACATTAACCAATCATATTTGCTAATATAAAATGGTAAAATTACGAACTTTCTGCAAAGAAGTCTCAGATCTACATTCACGTCCATTTGTTCACACGGTGCCCTGTAATATACCTTACAAATGAACCGCATTCATGATGGGCGCTCGACTGAAGAGTTCTGGACGTCCGGGATTCATTGAATCAACCGGATACCATAAAACAGACAGAATAGGTAAAAACAGAATTCAAAATGTTGGAGGAAAGTATAGGGGGGTTAGAGGGGGGGGGGGGGGGGGGTTGGATTTAAATCTGACACACCAGGCTCGGTATCGTTCTATTAAAGTCAGAATTGGAACAAGTAGAACATTTTCAAAACCAACCAATCGAGCCAGCGCTATCTGTATAACAAGTTCTGAAATAGATGTTAATTGAAACCGACAGATGGTTATAGGTTCAAGGATAAGTGTTAATCACAAAAAATAAATCGACACAGCTTGACTTTGTGGAACAGTCTTGTACTTTTTTTTACATATCATATATATATTAAATATGTGTGTTATAATCTAGTATCTATATCAGGTATTAAACGACGTTACATATAATATTGAATGGCTCGAAAACAGATTTGGCTTTGTTGTTATATAAAGGACATTTGATGCTTTTATTTGTACCATCCCGACGTCCATGGTTCTTGTAATTCCAAAATACTTCCAAGGTTACTACTGAAAATATAATTTATAACTTGGGTTGTTTTAGAAATCAGTTAAGAAAAATAGTCATTTAATAAGCGCCCAGTCTAAAACAATGTTAAGCGTACAGCGCGTCACGGTCATAGATTTTGTGTGTGCTACAGTTCTTCAGTGTGGCGCCAGACTTCTGAGGTGGCAGACTGACTCAATAGGTGGACAACTGTGGAGGCTGAATTCAAAATGTGGCATATCCGTGCAGGCGTCATATCACAAGCCTCTTATGGAGAGTCTGAGAGAATTTTCAAAAAATGGAATTGATTGGGTGCACTCTGACTCATATTATGGGGCGAAAAACGTGTACAAATCATATTTTCAAATTTACAACCCCAGTATCCCCATTGTAGTTCTATTTTCAAAGTAAATACACAGAAGCACAGAATACTTCCTCTGAGTCAATCTGTATCTTTTGGTAAAACACAAAACCAAAGTTATAGGACACCCTAAAGCAGACATCTGCAACAATGAACTATCACAGAGCAGACCAACAAAGAGGATGGAGCACGTCATATGAACTGTTTCTAACTAACAAATTCAAATTGAAACCTAGAAACTTTCTCAATAAAAAGAATATTCAACTGTTTAAATTTTGAGGTATCATCTTGTAAGTAGGTTAAGGGCTGGCCTAAAATGATAAATTTGATAACGACTTCAGATAACTTGAACATTAAAGAATCAGTTTACGTGAATATATTTCATATCTTATGATGTGGCATCTCATATAATTTAACTTACAATTTATTCCAATTTCTCAACACAATATAACCTTGCATCTAATCCTAATCAATTGTAAATTCTGATTCCTTTAAAATTGCAGTAAAAGATCCATTATGGCATTAACAAGTAAGTCTTCCTCATTTCGGCAGGTCTTTGTAGTAATATATTCCTTGAACTTAAAAATAAAAAAAAACTTAACTTCTTTTTGGTATCGAAAGTATGTCTCATAGGTGCAAATACAACAAGTTATTTATGGATACAGTTTCACGCAAGAAAAATAATCAATTAC